CCTCTCCAGGTCCCTTAGAGGGGGACCCAGAGATAGTGACTCAGTCCAAAGAGCATTAGAGGCAATCCACAGCTTCCCACCCACCACAACCCTCCCATTCTGCCTTTGACCAACCTTTCTGTCCTTGCCCGTATTCATGTGCAAATTTAATAGACCCATATTCATAAATGGGTATGTTAATAATAGGTCCAGCTCATGTTCTGCTTTCCAAATAATGCATAATAAACATGGTGAATGTTTCTGTGAGACCACTGTCAGCGACCCTGTACCATTACATTGATACACCATGATTTGATTTACCACAATGCTATCAATGCACCTTTAAGGATTATCCCAAGTTTTACTGTTCTAAGTACTGATGTAGAAAACATCTTCTGCTTACACGTAGGCCTTTCTTCAAAATTGTTTTCTTGAAATACGTGTCAGAATGTGACAATGTGTTACATTATCCCAACAGTTTGTAAGAATCTGGATGGTCACAAGTTGTGCACGCACGAAGTTCAGTCACTCTCACCAGCACTGGGAATTAATAACTTCTTTCTTCTTTCTTTTATTTTTCTTAGATAGTTGATGTAATTCAATGTTCATGGTTGGAATTAAGAATTAAATATGTTATGAAATCATAGCTGTGTACATTAATGCAATCATGGGGTACAATGTGCTGGTTTTATATATAATTTGAAATGTTTTCATCAAACTGGTTAACATAGCCATCATGGCATTTCTTAGTTATTGTGTTAAGACATTTATATTCCACACCTAGTAAATTTCACACATACCCTTGTAAGATGCACCGTAAGCGTGGTCCCACCAATTACTCTCCCTCTACCCATCCTTCCCTCCCCCCTCCCTCCCTCTCCCCTTTCCCCTTCTTCTTATGAAAGCTATAAATTGGTTTCATAGTAAAACTGAGTACATTGGATAGTTTTTCGTTCATTCTTGAGATACTTTGCTAAGAAGAATGTTTAGTCTTTGTATGACTTCATATGGGAATTTTTATTTAGAAATTAGTTCATCCTATCCTATCTTTTTCTGCATCTGTACATTTGGGCGTAAGTCACTACACTTGGCCACCTCTGAAGAATAAAAAATGATATATTCAGGAGATGGAGTTACAAGTTGTGGGCCCAGAGCTTTGAATCAGGCCCTTACCATAGAGTAGGGACAGCCATCTTGGCGAGGGCAGGCACACTTTCCCCAGCCAGTCACCTGCTCACCCATGACTGTGCTAGACCAGAGGGTTTATGGTATTAATGCACTCTGTACCTCAGGACCTGTACTAAGCTTTATAAGGACACTATGAAATAGACATTAGAATTTCTATTTTACAGATGGAGCTGAAAGAAGTAAATTAATTACCCCAACATCAGCCTGCCTAGGCAGGATTCAAACTCAGATCTATGGATGTGTGGAGCTATGATATAACTGCTGCATTAGCTGCTGAATGGAAGGACATGATCAAAGGGTTTAAAAACTAATTGACAAATATGACACTACATCTACCCTATAGGAGCTCAGAGTCCCCTGAATAGACAAATAGGAAGAGCCACAAAGCCATGTGACATGTGTCAGGGAGCCACGGAGACAGAGAGAACTCCTCATTGAGGAGGACTTCATGGAGGAGGTGACACCCCATAGGGTATTGAGGCATGGAAAGAATTTGTATAATGGACAGAGCCAAGCTGAAGAAGGAAAGAGGGCTGAGAGCCAAGTTGCCCAGAAAAAACTGGGTAGCTATGAGGATAGATTTGGGGATCAAATAGACCTGGGTTTGCTCCCTGCCTCTTCTTGCTAGCTTCACTCTCTGAGCCTCGGTTTTCCCATTGAAAAGCCGGAATGAGCGTGTCACCAGTTGTGAAAGTGATATGCTCCATGTAACACCTGGCAGAGGAAGAGCTTCTATTGTCAAAGTAGTTCTGCCCTCTCTGAGGACTTCCCACTTCTTCTGCCTCCCCTTCCCCTCCCACCAGCAAACCAAGCCTGCCCCATGAGCAACAGCCTCCAAGGGCACACACTCCTGTGAGCACAAACTTTCTGGCCAGAGGAATCAACACGATTGCAATGAAAGTCATCTGGACTTCGATTGAGCTAGACCTGGTATCAAATCCTACTCCTACTCCTACTCCACTTACTAGCTTGGGCCGTGGAACTTGGATAAGTCACTTAACTTCCTTTGAGGCTCAGTTTCATCATCTGTAAAATGGGCCCAGCAACCCCAGCCTCACAGGTAATTATGATGCATGAGCACAGTGCCCTGAACATAATATACATCAGTGTTTGATGGGAGCCCCCCAAACCGCACATGGCAGTGGTGTAAAGCCAATGTCCACGGTGATGTTAATCTACATGCTAAAGCAGCAGCCCCCATCTGGGGACATTCCCTGGAGCCCATCAGCCTGCAGGGCACCCAGCCTGGCAGGGCCTGTGGACAGTAGCTGTGCCTCTGCCCGGAGACCCACTTCTCCACATCCTCCCCCAGCTATTGCGGGAAGAGGCATGACTCATTCGAGGGAAGAGGGTTGGCACCAGCTCCCCGAGCCGCATGGGGCCAGCCAGCAGGCTTGTGGTTAAAGGACCTGCCTGGATTGCAAAACAAGCCAGTTTGCTATGCTCCGGCATCACGTGATGCGGGCGGGCGCTGGGTATGGCCTTCTCTTCCCTCGGCCCCTGACTCACCGCACGCCTGCTGCAGTCACATGGGCTCCCCGGGCCTCAGTTCCCCCTCAGTGTTCTTAGCTGCTGAGCTCATTTGGTGAAGAACTAAATTGGAAGAACGACTTCCCTTTTTCCCTTTATTATTACACCATAAATATATAAATATATTCTCATGAAAAATGTAAAGACGATCAGCTATAGAAAAATAGAAATGGGAAGTCACCCCTCAGCCCCCACCAGGAACCCTCCACGGCAATGAATCTGGTCACTATCTTCCTATGTATCTTCAAGGAATTTAACTAATTTTAGTTGATGTGAGAAATCCGTACCTTTTAGATGCATTAGAATATTACTGAAAAAGGCTCGGCGCCTATAGCTCAACCGGCTAAGGCGCCAGCCACGTACACCTAAGGTGGCGAGTTTGAATCCCCAGCCCGGACCCGCCAAACAACAATGACGGCTGCAACCAAAAAATAGCCGGGCGTTGTGGCGGGTGCCTGTAGTCCCAGCTACTTGGGAG